GGACTGACCTTTCCCCCAATTAGTTCAAGTTGGTGAGGGTTTACTGTATTGACAAAGTTCTGCCTAGTGGCAGGCTAAAAAGGTGCCTAAATGGAGGGGAGGAGAGTCAGGGGTAGGCCAAGAATGACATGGGGAGAAGTGAGAAATGACATTAGAGATAGGAATCTGGTGAGAGACTGCAAGAGACCGTGCAGCATGAAAAGCTGCCATTTTTTTACAGGGATCATCCCACCCGGGCACAGGTTCACTGACCCACATCAGGGCCTGGGGGTGAAAATATAATAATAATAATGAAAATAATAATAATTAATAAAAATAAAAATTTTAATAAAAAATAAAATAATAATAATAATAACCATAAATAAGTACAAAAATAAAAATTTAAATCAAGTGTGAGAAACGATATGCAGTATGTATGTTGTGTTGTAAATAGTAAGAGAAACAGTCATGACCCTGCAATTGTGTGTAAATGAGGCAGAAAGTCAGATCAGCAACCTGTGATGCTCTATGGCAGCAGGGTCTACCCAGGTTCCAGGGGGGTAATAACTTCCTGTTTGATAGCTGCCTACTACCTACTGCAGCTTATTATACATGAAGGGGCTTAGCTTATGGGCATAATTAGACAATGATTAATAGTTCCTATGCTTCCAACATATTCTTATGCAGAAAGATCCTTATCTTACATATCCTTCACAATAAACCTTGAACCAAGAAAGTATGACCATTTCTTGCAAATAATAATTATAGTTAAAATTTTCAATACTGTACAAGATGAATTATAAATATACAGGCAGTCCCTGACATACAACAGGGATACATTCCTGGATCCTGATCATAAGTCGATTTGTTCATAAGTCAGAACATTGTTAATTCCATAGTTTAGGTTAAGTTGAGGCACAACCTTGACCATACAAAGCAACAATAATATCCCACACATATCAAATAATGTAAATAAATGTACTGTAAATATACTGATGCCAAACAATATGGAATAATTTAAATACTGTAAAAAAATGGGACTTTATTTTTAAAAATTTGCGATGAATATACAGGTACTCCTCGACTTACGACCACCCAGACATACGACTGCCGCAGTCGTACAAAAAAAAATTCAAATTCCGCTGTGTACTGACAAAATTTTCATTTGTAATTCCATTTAAAATGGCTGGCAAGCATAAAAGTGAGAGTTCTCGTGGTGCTGAGAAGAAAAAGAGACACCCAGAAATTTATGTAAATCTACCCAAAAATACAGTTGAAAAAATTATGCATTATTAAAAAGTACTATGTACTAAAATTTTTATCTCTTGTGCAAAATACATGACGTTTATATTCAAATTAATCACTTTCTTATAAGAATTCCAGCAATGTAAATTATATTTTCCCCAGTCACTTCCATGACATTTTATAAGCAAAAAACAAAAACTCAATCTAAAGGACAAATAAATACAGGTTGTACCTCTCTAGTCCGGCAACCTCGGGACCTGACCGGTGCCGGACCATGGAAATTCACCCTTTTCCTGGATAGATAGTGACTTGTGCTTATGCTTGGAAGCACTAGCACCACTTTCTCTGCATCATGGTCTCTTTGAAGACATATTGAAGGAAATGTCGAAAAGTAGCTTCTCAAATTTTGCGAGTTTTTAATTCAACGTATTTTATTGGAACACACACACAAAAAAAATTTTTGACGGGGGAAACTTGAATTTCGATGCGTTTGAACTGCCCGCCAACGTGCAGACGACGTGCATAATCGTGTAAACAGCGTCATTTCTCTTATGTACAAAAGATTCATTATTGTTTATTACTGAATGCCTTTTTTATTGAATTAATGGTTATGTGTGCAAAATGAGCAATACAATTCATTAATAATACGTAGAATATTAAAACACACAAGGAAATGACACAGCATTGTTTTTGTTGATTACAAAACCAGTGACTGACTGGTTCTACATATAAAACTGAAGAAAATAAGACCTTGGTTGTAGCTGTAGTAAAATTAATATGGTTGTTTTAAGTAATGTTATTTAATGTTAATAAATGGAACAATAGAAGTAGCTAACGATAATGGTAAAGAAAAAAGAGAGATCGCGTATGTAAGTGCGCACACTTGAAAACATATCGTCATTACTTTACGTAAGAATATGATAGCAACACTTATTTACTGTTCATATATATTATAATTTATGTTTCTGAATTTCTTTTTATTGAATTTATGTTTGTGTGTGCAAAATTAACAATACAATTTATTAATAATACGTGGAACATTAGAACACACGATGAGACGAGACGGCTGCCGGCATTGTTTATGTTAAAGCTTACAAAACCAGTGACTGATTGGTTCTACATATAAAACTGAAGAAAATCTGACCCTGATTGTAGCTGTAGTAAAATTAATGTAAAAACATTAATATGGTTGTTTGAAGTACCTGTACTGTAATGTTATTTAATGTTAATAAATGGAACAATATAAGTACAGTAGCTAACCATTAATGGTAAAAAAAAAATGTGAGACTGCGCGTATGTAAGTGCGCACATGTGAAAACATATCGTCATTACTCAAAATAAGAAAATGAAAGCAACACTTATTTACTGCTCATATATATTAAAGGGTTAAATGTTGTACAGTGGTCCCTCGGTTAAGAAACTCAATCCGTTCCAGCAGGTTGTTCGTTAACCGAAAAGTTCGTTAACCGAAACCATTGTTTCAATGGGTTTTTGGGTAATTGGTTCCAGCTCACCGAAAATTTCCTAAATTTAACAAAAATGGTAGAAAAGTTCACTTACTTTGAGGTGTGTATGTAGAAGGCTCCTGGATGATGATGATGGGAATTAGAATGGGGGTGGAGGAGAAGGAAGAAGAGAAGGCATTGGGGTGGAAGAGAAGTCACCTCATGGCACCATTTCACCCATAAAATTTTAGTTCTCTTGGTGTATTTCAAGATTATTTTCTTTAAATCAACACTGCACTGCATTATATATTGTCAATATGGAAAATATATTTCAAAATGACCAATAATTTGCTTGGAAACAGAAAAAAAGCGTTTAGTTGAAGAGAGTCTCAAGCAAGATGTTACCTCCAGTGAAAACAGAGAGAGACTAACGCCTGTTTGCTGTGTTAAGAGGCTGGATGCCGCGCATTAAACTAGTCACTTTACCTTCAATTATGTTCAATAATAGTTAAAATGACTAAAAAATTGAATATTAAACTTTTAAAATTATTGAATAGTATAAACTTATTGATATTTACTAAAATAGTAAGGAATTTAAGCCCTAGAACCGATTAATGTAATAGCGGACTAATACTAAAGCTGGTTGACCGGCCAATGCAAGCGAAAACATTCGTTAACCGAATTTTTGTTCGTTAACCGAATTTAAGAATCTTATGGGAGGCAGTTCGTTAACCGAAATTTCGTTAACCGAGGGACCACTGTGATATATATATATATATATATATATATATATATATATATATATATATATATATATATATATATATATATATATATATATATATATATATATATATATATATATATATATATATATATATATATATATATATATACACACACACCCACACACACCACCCACCACACCCACCCACCCACCCACCCACCCACCCACCCACAGAGAGAGAGTGATCCCTCGGTTAACGAATTACCTTCCATAAGAATTTTCAATTCGGTTAACGAGAAATCCTTACGAAATCGTGTCATCATGTTTTCGCTTGCTCACCAGCTGTAGTATTTGTCCGCCAATACAGTAATCGGTTTTAGGGCTTAAATTCGTTACCATTTGAGTAAATATCAAGAAGGCTGTAGTATTCAATAATTTTCCAAGTCTTATATTACAATTTTTAGTAATTTTAGCAATTATTTGACATAATTGAAGTACAGGGAACTAGTTTTTAGCGTGCCAAACAGCCACTTGACTCACTCTCTTGAACATAAACTATTTTTACGTTTTTACAGTACAATTATTGGTATTCTGAAATTTATTTTACATATTGACAATGTATAGTGCAGTGCAGTGTTGATTTAAAGAAAATAATCTTGAATTACACCACGTGAACTTTAAATTTTATGGGTGAAATGGCAGCATGAAGCATGGGGTGATTTTTCTTCCACCCCACTGCCTTCTCTTCTCCCTTCTCCACCCTCACTTCTAATTCCCATCATTATCAACCAGGAGCCTTCTACATGCACACCTCAAAGTAAGTGTACTTTACTGCATTTATTTTTAGTTTGTATGTAATTTTCGGTAAATCGGAACCAATTGCCCAAAATCCCATTGAAACAATGGTTTCGGTTATCGAAATTTTCGGTTAACGAACGACCTTCTGGAACGAATTGTGTTCGTTAACCGAGGGACCACTGTATATATATATTTGATTTAAGGGCGATTTCTGGGATTTTTAGGAGTGTTTCTGACTTTATGCATTTTTTGGCTTTACTTTGTATGTACATTTCCTGTGAGTTGGAACCAATTGTGTTTGTTAATCAAGGGACTACTGTATTATTTTTGCATTTTTGACTTACGACCTGGTCGTTGGTCCCTAACCCCGTCGTAAGTCGGGGACTGACTGTACTGTATTGGAATCATGTTTGTAAGTGTGGGTGATCGTAAGTCGGATGGGCATAACTTCGGGGCTGCGCGTAATAGAATATAAGTAGTGCAAGTAATATCTCTATTAGCTGGAATCCCTCAAACCCGGAACTTTCCGATAGCCAGAATTTATATTTTCTCAGAAAATTGTTCCCAAACCCGTAATTTTCTGGAAAATTCTAGCTTTGGGAATGGTTTTCCTGAAAATTCTGAGAACATTTTTCCGTTACCCAGTAAGTTCCGGGGATGAGGGAATTTTTTCCAGCTTTGAGAAAGTTGTCTCATTACCTGGAAATCTCTCATTCCCGGAAGTGCTCTGCAACAATAGTTCCGGCAAATGGAGATATCACTGTATACAGTAGAAGTAATAAGATTTGTTTTTTCTTCCACAACAGGTTAATTGAAAAAAAGGTTCGTGAAGTGATGGCAGAGCGCGGAGATTCTCAGGCATTCTATTACAGACCAATCCTTACTAAATACCATCGCATGGTTCGTGATGAGTATGAGAAACTAAAAGACAGTAGGGGTTTGTAAACATGGTATCCATGTTCATTGATACCTTCTTGAGTTGAGTCTAATGACCATCAAGTTATTGTGATTTGTTGGTGTAGCATAAATAAATATTGCAACTTAAATACCTGTAGTGCAACTTTTGAGAGATCCTGATTTTCTGTGCAGTCATATGAATATGATAAGTCAGCTACAGTAAGTAAAATATTATGAATGCTCTGTAAATTGTAAATAAAATGCTTTATTATATATTGTTATATACTGTGCTTCATTAAACCTGATTTCAATATATAGAGTTGCTTTCCTGTTGTAGTTTAATATAAAAAGCAAAAAGTCTTCATTATGAATGAAAAGTTTTTGTCATTTTTTTTGCCATATGAATTTATGAAAAAAATTAGATATGGAAAAGTTGGATAAAACTGTAAAGTAAGGAGAGGATTAGCAGAGACTGAGGGAGAAGTTGAAGGAGAGAGTGAAACAATACATGACTTAAAAAGATGTTAGTTTTGAGCAGTGGTTCACAGTCACCATGTTGGGTAGAAGGAAACAGTCAATTAGTTTTACACAATGCACTGTTGTTTGCAAAATTTATCCCTCTGCTTGTTGACAAAAAGGTATTTTTTATTTTTCCTCATATTTTCTAGTTTTCCTTCATAATGTCAGCTTAAAGAAAACAAGAGAGTAGAATTTAGTTTTTACAACTCTAAGGCATACATCAGTGAAGAAAGATTAAAAAAAATTGCTCAAGGGGTGAATAGTATAGTACTCTATGTTTATAAAGGAAGACATATATTACCGGTAGTTGATGAAAAATATGGGTTTTCAAGTCTTACAAAAAAAAAATAGTAGAAAATCATGCAAAATTATAATATATGGCCCCCCAAAAGGTGTTCATTTACCTTATTTGACATCTGGGAGGCAAATGTATATGTTATGCCATGTGTGGATGAGGCACCCATGTGGAATTGATGGAGACTCCTCTTAGTGGTGGACTAAGCTTCGCAGGTGGCCTGCTTATCACATGGTGTTGACTGCATTTGTGTGTCAAAGAAGTTCAAGTACTTTGTTTGAAGGAATGAAAATGATGTTTTTTTGGGTCGTATTCTTGTTATAACACATACAGTAGCCCATAGTATTGTATAATAATTGAGAAGAACTGTTACATAAAGTACTGTCTGGTATAACAATATTTGTAAAAATAATATATTCTACTAGTGACTGAAATAATAATTTTTCTCCAACTCTGTATGCAGCTGTGTATTCAATTTTTGAGATACACTGTGCTCGTAGACCTACTGCGCACATCTTATACCATTAGGGTTGCCAGGTCTCCAGTTTTGGGCCGGAGTCGCTGGTCTCCAGTCAGAATAGGGAAATATCTGGATTATCACTGATCTTATTATACTTGTCTTAGTTTATCATATACAGTGGTCCCTCGGTTAACGAGCACAATCCGTTCTAGAAGGTTAACCGAAAAACTTGTCAACCGAAACCATTGTTTCAATGGGTTTTTGGGTAATTGGTTCCAGCTCTCTGAAAATTGCCTGAATTCAACAAAAATGGTAGAAAAGTACACTTACTTTGAGGTGTGTATGTAGAAGGCTCCTGGATGATGATGATGATGGGAATTAGAATGGGGGTGGAGAAGGGAGAAGAGAAGGCATTGGGGTGGAAGAGAAGTCACCCCATGGCGCCATTTCACCCATAAAATTTTAGTTCTCGGTGTAATTCAAGATTATTTTCTTTAAATCAACACTGCACTGCATTATATATTGTCAATATGTAAAATAAATTTCAAAATGACCACTAATTTGCTTGCAAACACAGAAAAAAAGCGTTTAGTTGAAGAGAGTCTCAAGCAAGATGTTACTTCCACTGAAAAGACAGAGAGACTGGCAACCTGTTTGGTGTGTTGCCAGGCTGGATGGCGCGCATGAAACTAGTTTCCTTCCCTTCAATTATGTTCAATAATTGTTAAAATGACTAAAAAATTTAGTATTAAATTTTTAAAATTATTGAATAGTATAAACTTCTTGATATTTACGAAAATATTAAGGAATTTAAGCCCTAAAACCGATTACTGTATTGGCGGACTAATACTACAGCTGGTGGACCGCCAAATACAAGCAAAAACATGTTGAGGTCGGCTCGTAAAAAACTCGTTAATCGAGGGATTGCTCGTTAACCGAAGTTAAGAATCTTATGGAAGGTAACTGGTAATTAGCATGTTTCCACACTACATCAGTAACATTAGTTGAGACAGACATGGATGTTATGGATGAGACCAACTCTGTGCAGCTGACAGCTCTGCCTGTGTGGACATGTTTGATTCCTGTGCATCCTGAGAACAGGAGCAGGGGTGGGGGGGGGGGCAGTGTTCCCAAAATGAATACGAAAGTATCATCTGGATACTTTGACACGGGGCGTACATTTTTACAACGCTGACCAAAATTAAAAAAAACGGTATAAATTCCCAGAAATTGGATGCTTTTTTAATTTTTTTTGAGAAATCGGATACATTTTATTTTTTTTAATCTTAATTTATTATGTATTTTTTATTATAATTATTACAAATAATTTTTTCCTGAAGATTTTGACCCATTATGATACATAAATGCTGTGTTTTCATTATTGAAGTTTAAAACACTGCCTCTCACAGGCATCCATATAACATAGGCGAAGGTGGCGAAAGTGAAAGGGGATATCGAATTTATGCTGTCGACCACATGGCTGATGTTTGCTTGATATATTCTGCCAACAGGAGTTACTCTTTTTGATGCATTTGGAATCTCCAAATTAATGTACTTTATTTGTGGGTATGTTCAACATCCCTTTTTTTCTGTTTCTCTTTCCCTCACTCTTTCATGGTTACATAAAAATAATAAGTACTATTAGAATATAACGTATTGGGGTAGGAAACTGTTTTGATTCATGATTGGTTTATTAGTTCTTCAACACTTCTGCTGCAGTAGGGAGAATATTTTCCCAAGTAAAACTTATAAAGACTGATGTTAGCAACAGGCTGAACACAGACTCGTTGGATGGTCTGTTCCGAGTGTCCACTACCTAGTTCCATCCATTCCATGTGTTATAAGACAATGGCAGATCAAGAAGCTAGCCAAGGGTCAGTCATGAAGGGAAAACAAGCAAAATTCTTTTGCAGGTTTAGTGAAAATTGGACTTAACAGGATGAATTCACTGGATGGCTACGTAAGGTAGATGATTCAACCACTTGGTATAAAGTGTGTCAAAAAAGTACATTCACCATTAAGCATGATGGTGTTGGTGTAGTGAAGATGCATCTGAACAGCTCCTGTCATGTTACTCATGTGAAGGCAGGTTCTCAGAGTAGCACAATGGAGACATTCTTTCCTCAAATATCCTCACCTGACACACGCAAAGCCATAGTTCTGAAGTTACCCAAGTGTACCATGCCGTTAAACATCATCAAAGTTACTTAACTTTGGACTGCTTGATGAAGCTTCAGCCCATAATTTACAGTGACTCTAAGATTGCCAAACTTGTTCAAGGTGGAAGAACTAAAGCAGAGGCTATTTTAGAAAGTGTACTGTTTCCTTCTTCAGTTGAAACTGTGATAAATGACTTGCAAGGTGTACATGATGATTATGGTGTGAAACCATTCTCCGTAAGTACGGATGCATCCGATAAAGGGAATAATTTTTTTTCCCAGTAGCTGTAAGATACTTTCATCCCTTAAATGGTGTTAAAAAATAAACTTTTAGATGTATATGAGGACAGTAATGAGAGCTCTAATGCAATTTCACTCAAGTTATTGGAAAATATTGAAACAGCTGGTATTGATGTGAATAATGTACAGCTACTCCCCGACTTACGACCTACTCGACTTACGACCACCCGGACATACGACCACCCAGACATACGACCGCCTCAGTTGTACAAAAATTTTGTCAAATTACGTATTTTCGAGTCCCAACGTCAGTGATTGCGCTGTATTCTGACAAAATTTTCGTTTGTAATTCACTTTAAAATGGCTGGCAAGCTTAATACTGAGAATTTTGTGGTGCTGAGAAGAAAGAGACACTCATTTTAGATTTTCTATGTACCGGTATTATTTAAGCATTTTCGACTTATGACCTGGATTTGGGTCCCTAACCCTGTCGTAAGTCTGGGAGCAGCAGTACGTAGTTGCTTATGGAGCTGATAATGCTTCAGTTAATTATGGAAGACATTATTCTTGTAAGGGCAACGATCCTCCGGCTAGTTACCGCTGCTAACTCGCTCGTTTGCTGGTGCAGACGACACTTGGGGTGGTTGGACGGAGGTGATAACGTCAGCAACCCTCTCCGCCGCCGGCAGATTCAACCCAGCCGCCATACCGTCAGTATCTAGCTACCCTGCTGTCCGTCAAATTCTGGCTGTGATCTCATCATAGGTCCTGGACTCGTGGGCTGTGTTCCCAGACCTTCACCTATCAACTGCCAACTCTCTGGTCATCTACCACTACCGCATACCACGACCATCAGTTCATCACATTCCGTCGGTGCCCCGGTGTTCTCCTGCCTTTTCAAGACGTTGCTGAGTGTGGAGCGAAGTGGACGCTTCCCTGCCCTGAGTGTGCATCACCGCGTTCCAGAACCTTCCCCCAGGGCCACTGCCGTAGGAAATATTTGTTCATTGTTTGATTCCATTAATTGCTGACTCCCCTTTATTGTTCGATTCTATTATTTGTTTGATTCCTTTAATTGTTGCTTCCATTAATTGTTTGACTCCCGTAATTATTTGATGTTTGTTGAGTGGTGTCAGAGTTTTGTGTTATATTTTTATAGTAAAGAGATGCCAATCTCTAACGGTTGTTTGTTATTCCTCGGAAAACCATGGTCCTTGACTTTCCTTTATTAAGATCCTGATTAGCCTGGTAAGGGATTTCTATCCCTAAGTCCTAGGCCCTTACAATTCTGTATTTACAAAGCTTAGAGAAAAAATCCACAACTTTTGAAAGCTAATTGTTACTGCAAGACATGCATGTAAAACTGTCATATGATGTGGAAACACTTTATCATCAAAATATTCAATGAATTCTCATATAGCGCTAAAAATGTAGCTGAACTGTAACAGTATTTTGAGTTTGTGGAACAAGAATATGACCCTCTTCTCCGCCATGTTTGCACAAGGTGGTTGTCTCTTTTTCCCGGCAATTGAGAGACTGATACAGTGCTGGCCAGCTGTGAAAGTGTACTTCATTAAGCTGGGGGAAAGATAATTACAGGGTACTCAA